CCCGAAGTGCCCGAGAAGCCCGAGAAATTTATCTTTTCGGTTTTGAAGCCCGACCCTCGCAGAGCCCGGTTTCTCAATAAAACTCCCTTTTATTAGAAACGATCGTTTTAGGAACGAAGTGCTGCCCGATTATCATTAAATCATGTGAGTGTGTAGTCACTTTCATCTTACACCTAGATATGAAGTATTTTCTATAAATACGTGCTATGTGTAATTATTAATTGTTTATTTGAGGTGACTGTTGAATAATGTTTATACAAGTTTTTAAACTGTATAATATTTTTATCTACAAATATGTTGGGTAGAACATGGTAGACGAAATAGTCGATGTGTGTTAAAATGGTGAGAGGCCTCGATGTTGTTGTTGTTGTTGTTGTTGTTGTTGTCGTCTAGCGGAGTATAGATGACGACCACGGACCTTTCTAGACAGTCCAGTGGAACACTGGCAGGCCCGCAACCTGTAGGTGTTGGTGAACTAAATGTTCATTGGCGTACTCCATCCCCCTCATGGTTGCCTTTAGGACATGTATGGCTGGGGAGTCCCCTTAGCAGTAGTGTCCATCCCGATGATATTCCTTAGGCTAGGTCCCTTGTGATAGGTGTTTAGGGACGTAAAGTGAGGATAACGGGAATGGGTAATCAGGTTTATTGCTGATTGGTGAACTTAATAAGTTTATTATTATTGTGGGTTGAAAACCCTATATGCTCACCAGGCTCCCAAGCCTGACCCACTCAGCTTTTTATGTTACAGGTAGTGGACCCCGAGCATAGTCGGATGATGATGAGAGATTTTTGGATTATAGGCCAGTAGTTGTAAATAACTGTTGTAAGGCTTATAATGTCTTGTTTATGCTTTTGATATGTATCGGAACATGACATCCCAAGGTTTTGATATAAAAGGAAATTATATATTTCTTAAAGAAAGGTTTTGATAAACTTTTATCATGTTTTGTTTTGGGGACCAATTCCGCAACATCTTTTAAAAGGATTTCTCTGACTTTATTTTAAAAGCATAAATTAAATCGGTCTTTTCTGGCCGAGAAATTAGGGGATGTCACATTATGTTCCCAGTTTGCTGTTTAATTCAATTTCTGGGCATATAAACTACTCAGAGGGACTTGACAGGTTATAAAAACTAATCAAATAAAGAACTAATCAAATTCCACAAAGATCTAGGTCCAATAAAGAAGAAATAGTTTTAGCAAGAAAAAATGTAAACAAAAAAAGTAAAGTACAAAACCATGACATTATTATTATTATCAATTACATTAAAATTTTAGGGGCAATGGTTGTCGATCGCACATGATTTGAGTAAACAGACATCAATTCACCTCAATTGAAGCACACGGTGAATTGAATTCAAACTTGCTTTGCAGTTACCCTAGAACGTAGAACTAGGCTATCTCCTTTATTCCTATGAATAGCCTCTTCAATATCAAAACACCTTGGCATAATTCCACCATTTTTTTGCTTCTGAGAAAAGAAAGCAGATAGAGTCGATGTAAAGAGAGAGATCGATTTCTATAGAGAATGGATCTTCGAAACAATACCTATAAGGATGTTTTTAGTCCTGATCATTTATGTTGGTAGCGGTGATGCAGTCAATCCAATATCTTCTCAGTATTGATGGTAGTGGTGGTGGTGGTGGTGGTACGGTCGCTAGGTTTAGAGAGAATATGAGATGCACTGGTGGAGCCGAATTAGGGTTAAGAGTTCTGTGATGTTAGGTTAGGAACGAAATCCGATTTTGGAAACTTTGAAAATCATTAAGGAGACGCGTAACTCTTCAAACGGGTGTTTGACTTGTCATGATTGTCAGCAATTTGATCTAAAGTTAGAAAACCTATAAAGGGAAACACAATCAAGGGCTCTGATTGTTTAAGATGATGTCATAAGGTTTCTGTTTTAATATATATTAGAGATGGGGATAAGAAGCCAATGAGCCCATGTGCATAAATAAAAAGGTCCATGAGCCTAAATACATAAATAAAAGAGCATAATGAGCCCAAGTGCATAAGTAAAAGAGACCAGTAAGCTTAAATACATTAATAAATGAAGTCAATGAATCTAAATGTATTAATACAAGAGGCCAATGAACCAAACAGCATAAATAAAATAGACCAATAGACGCATATAAAGAAAATCATGTGTATTAAAAGGATTTAAACCCTCATAGCATTAGAGGATAAGAGGCCAATGAACCCATATACTTTTTAAAAAGAATATTTATTTTATTAAAAAAAATAGAATATATTTAAACTTGATTTTGGTGTCGAAATTTAACAAAATTTTCATGACTCATGAGAAATGTCCCAAGCAATGAAACTTTATCGTAAACTTTAGGCCAATAAGTCCAAATGCATAAATAAAAGAGGCCAATGAGCTCAAGGTCATAAATCAAAGATGCCAATGAGCGTAAGTACATAAATAAATAAATAAATACCAAAGAGTCTTTGGCCTAGTGGTAATGAGTGACTCTCTCAAATGAGAGGTCATGAGTTTAAGTCTCACTAGGAGACATAGATGGTGTTTAGGATTAGATTAGGACTAGGATAATTTGTTGTTTCAAAAAAATAATAATAAATAAATAAGAAGACAACGATGCCAAATTCATAAATAAATAGGGCAAATGAACCCAAATGCTTAAATAAAAGATGTCAATAAGCCCTAGTAAAGCGGTGGTAAATGAGTCCATTCATCAATAAAGAAAATCAACTATCCTCATAAATCATAAATAAAAAAGACCAATGGACCAATGAGCCAACCATAATTGCATAAATAAAAGAAGCCAATGAACCTAAACACATAATTAAAGGACTCCAATAAGTCAATATGTATCGATAAAATACACAATGAGTTCATTCATAAAGACAAAGAAAGTTGTTATCCCTAATAAATGAAAATAATTTGGTTACTTGTTATCCTTTTATATATTATGTTACATGTTATTTTATGGTAAATTTAGATTAAAATATATTCATATGTCATTTTGTGGTTTTTTTCATTTTATTAAATTTCATATAATACTTAAATATATAAATTTAATTATATAATATATATATATAATAATATATATATATATATATTATATATATATATCTATATATATATATATACCAATTTATTAATGTAACTTTCCTTATGGTTTCTAAATTTCTAAATTGTATACAATTATTTTAGTTGTTTATATATTTAAAGTATTAGTTTAAATTTAAAAGATAAATAAGCACTTCAATTTGAATAATTAAATATATTTTTTTCTTATAAATTTAAATTTTGTAAATTGTTAGATTTTTCATGTTTTTTTTTTTTTTTTTGATAAACTCATATAACATGGGTGATGGGTCTCACAATTAGTGTGTATTAAAATGATTTAAACCCTCCTAACATTAGAGGATAAGAAGCCAATGAATCCACATATTTTTTAATAAAATTATGTATTCCACCAAAAAAAAAAAGTAGAATATATTCAAACTTAATTTTGGCATCAGAATTTTGGTATGGGCATGTGTTGATCTGTGTGGTTGGGATCAATTCTGTATTAGTTAGGTTTATATATATATATATATTATATATAGATATATATATATATTATATATATATATATATATTGTCTGTATATAACGACATATAACGGCTGATAGTTACGATTTCAATTGTGCTCTAATACCCTTATTCAATCCCCTGAAGAAAAATATTTCCTCATGTCCTATGGACATAGATGATATTGACTGAATCATATTTAATATTACGTTGGTGTGTGTTTCTCTTATTTATTCTTAAGAGGATGTTTTTGTCATCCCTAATTATTTCCAACGAATAGTGCTTGGAAATCTATGACAATGAAGCCAAGCCTAGACAAATATCATTCCATACAAAGATTTATCTTATAAGTATGATATTTCTTTTACAATTCATGACACCCACATCTCAATGAACACTAGGTTCATCTATTTTGCTAGTTATCACATTTTGCACAAATGGATAAACATTGGCCACTACGCAATTAAGAAGATAGAACTTAATACTTTTATCCTAGACGTCATATTGTTCCAAATCATTGGGTTAAGAACGATGCATTCTATCCGTATCGAAATATCTCTGTCTTCTTGATTTCTTTCATTCAAGTTAATATCATCGGCCTTGGCCTCATTTTCTTCCTCATTGACCCTATTACCTATAATGAACTTCCTAACATCTAGTTAATTAAAACGTGTTTAAAAAAAAAAAGGATCGTTACAAATGTTTGTATAGGTTCAGGATCACTACAAATGTTGATAAAGGTTCCTTCAATCTCATCCTCAAATTAAAGCTAACAATCTAAAAAACCATCAGAATGTTATATCATCCACCTCCTCATGAGCACTATATGTAAGGTGACTATCTCAGATCATTATTACTATTGTTTACATTTAAAGCTACAGTCAATTCTAAAACGATGTTCCTCGAATCGCTCATTCATGCAACTATGACCTTCGAGGAAACCATTGAAGTTTTCAAGTGTAAAAAGGGATATTATGTGTATTTATTTTGTCTTATATGTATCCATTTTTCTTTCCATGTCATTTCCCTATCTAAATCCACATCATAACTTAAAATCGGCAAAAAGAAAGAACTTATGAAATGGCTTTTACAAGAAACATTTTAATAGCTTTCTCAAAAAAGTAAAACAAAATTTGTTTATACTTTTCTAAAATTTGCCTAATTCTATGATAAAAAAATCATTTAACAAACGGAGAAGTTTCAAATTTTCTTTTAAAAGACTAGCAAGAAGTAATTATCTTTAAGTAAATGCTTTTCTTCAATGGATTTTAGTAGTAGAAAACAAACGTATAAACCAGTTACTTCCACTTTCATTTATTAATCTTTTATAAAATACGTCAAGCCAAAGAAGTAGGCATTTCGACGCAAGATTCATGAGAAACAACCCCAACACGTATGAATTTCACATCATTTAAAAGGGACATCATTTCATAATTCAAATACATTCAAAAAAAAAAATGAAAAAATCCACCACAAAGTTGTTCATGCACATATTATGCGTGACTTTGTTCATCTTAATCATGATTTCCTTTGAAGCATTTGTGTCTTCTTCTACTGCCCAAGAACCTCAGCCACCACCAAACCCATGGCTGAGGCACGAGAAGGCGGCACCACCATCTCCCGCCCAGCAAAAGGAGGAAATAGAAGATTATGGTGACTGGAATGCTCCACCTTACACAGGAGGAGGTGGAAGAAACACCGGTGGTCCAATACCTCACCCATAGACAGATGAAGAAGAAGTTGAAGCCAATGCTTCTTATGATATTTATCTACTAGCGTAATGCAATTATGATAATCTACATATTTTTAATTTTATGTAAACCATTAAGAAAAAAAAAGTTGTGCATCTATCTTATCTAATTAATAATGCATTGTCTACAAAAATACAAGTTACTAATAGCTTGTTAATTATGTTTTTTATGTTCACATTCGTGTTTCTTTTGTCCATTTTTTTTGTTTGACCTTTAGATTTTTCATTTTTCAAATTGGTCCTTATATTTTTTTCATTTTTTGGATAAAACCTCTGTTTTACTTTTTTTCAATAATCTTCTAATTCAAGAAACCGGTAAAAATTGAGAAAAAAAATAAGGTTAAATTAAAGAAATAAAGTTAAAGTTTAATCTAAGAAAACGAATTTTGTTTTCTCTAATTAATACTTATATTAAAACATTAAAAGTCTTTTGTTGATTAATCAAATAGTATTATACCCCATACATTACTTCATAAGGAAAAGACCCAAAGTTCAGTAAAAAGGCCAACACAAGTAAAAAAAATCAAAATTTTAACAGTCTGACAAAATATAAATAAAAGAAATTGTTATTTTAGTTTACATAAGATGAATGGAAGATGGGGGAGTGAAAGCAGCAACTTTCTGAGCTTGTTGTGATTCACCTTTGTATAACTCCTTCATGTCTTTTTTTGCACGTCTTGCTTCTCTTCTTTCCTCCTTCAATGCAGCCTACATCAATATTTCATCTCATTATTAATTATTAGATAATGAAATAATAAATTCAATTCAATAGTTGTTTTCAGATTACCTTTCGTTCTTTCTTTTCTTCCTTTGACTCTTGACCAATTACTTTCTTCGGTTTTACCAAATTCTTCACTTTACTCTTCTCTTTCCCACCATCTCCAATTCCATTCCTCCCATTTGGCAAAAAGTCAACCGGAATCCTCTCTTTCCCTTTCAAAGAAATCACATGAGTTGGATTTCCAAATGCGTTGACTACTTTTTCAGTCAACCTTTTTCTCTTCACACCTGGATCTTGAATCTTTCCAGGGTGATTATCAAGATTTGAGTACGTTGTAATAATCGTCTCACAATCCCATTTTTCAGATTCATCACTACTACTTTCCTCAAAAACCACATCTTCTTTATCATTTTCATTTTCAAAATTTTCAGCATATTCTATACAACGAGGCCTTAAATCAGCTGCTGTTTCTAGTGAAACTGGTTCTTCTTCCATGTCTTTTTCGTGTACTAAACCTTTATAGTTTTCATCATTTTCCAATGTATTGGTTTTAGGGTTTAACGTGACATTATTGAGCTTTGATTCAAGAGAATCATCAAACTCATCATCTTCTGATGTGGCATTTTCAAATTCGTCTTCACTTTCTGTACCATATTCCTGAAGTTCAAGCTGTAAAAAAAGGGAATTAGATGGATTAATTGATATTAATTAATAATATTAATATTACATCATATAAGAATTTACGACAGAAAATGAAAATCCTTACCAGATCAAACTGTTCATCTAAAAGTCGACGTTCTCTGGGCTTTGAAGAAACCACAGTTTCAAGATTGTGATTTTTGACCTCATTCATACCAGAATTTTCAACAATTTTATCTTGTGAGTAGTGGATATGATATTCTTCTTTCTTGCTGTTTAAACTAGATTCTCCTATGAAAGTAAACTTGTTGTCGAGTTCCACATCTTCTGATTCATCTGGAAGGTTTGCATTGAAGACGAAATCTTCTTCCAAGTCTTCAACATCTGAACCAAAACGTGATACATCACTATCATCCAGCAATGCTGCCACTTCTGGATCAATGGCTTTTTGAATCCTAACGGGAACTGTGTTTACTGCAACGCCGTAGATTGAATTCTTGTATGAATTCTCATCATTAGCCTTGGAAACCTCGATTCTAGATGCATCATATGCCTGGAAAACAGTAAATTATGCATCTTTCACTCAGTTGGGCTTATAAGATTTATTACTCCATTAGTTAGGATGAATTTTGAACAAGAAAAATCACAGGTTTCTGAACATATTGTATCGGTATAGTTGAGCATACATTAGGGTCCAAATTCAAGGAATAAAAATAAGCAAAATAGAAGATGAAGCTAACCTTTACATCACGAGGTAGCTGGTCAAGCACCGCCTTAGGGTTCTGGTAATACGCTGAACCACCTCCGGTATCCTTAATGTCCCTCAGATGAGACAAGTAATTGTAACCATCATCCGGAAACCCTAATTCCAAAATTTCCCTTCTCAAATGATCAGGTAACGAAGATCCTCTCCCCAGCCTTCCCGCAGTGGTCTGCCTACCCCGGCCGCCGGATTCTTCACCACTGTAATCTTCAGGAGCGTCATCGAATATTCCATTAGGGTCATCTTCATCACTCAGCTCACCGTCATGTTCGTCGAAAAAGGGTTGCTCTGAGTTGCCGTCAACTCTGACGAATACTCGGTCACCGGAGGGTCCTTCGGTGTAATTCGGATCGGAGGAATCACGAGCGATTAATTGGAAAGTTGCTGACTTTTTCTTGTCGATGAACTTCTTCTTCCTCCCCATTGTTGAGACTGAATTTGACGAATTGGTAGACGAGTCGAACTCGCTCTGAAGTCTGAACTGTATATCTAGGGTTTTAGGGAAATCAAATTGGGCCTCTCGGACTCTATGCTTAAACCCTTTTCTAAAGACTGTATTTTGTTGGTTACTTCATTTGGTTCGAAAACATCTGCGGCCCAACAACAAGATCACGACATATCAGTCAGGACTCAAAAGAGAGAGATAGTTTTTTACTTTTTACTTTTTAGCCGGATTAAAGTGGAAGGGAATAGTTCAATATAAACTAGTTCTCGAAATCGTGTCGTGTTTAGGTTAGCAGGTCGTGGGTTGGCGAGTTAAAATATACCAACCTAAATACGACTCATTTAATTATACAGGTCACGGGTTGGCGGGTTTGGAACATAAACTCATATATGACCCGTCAACCCATTTATTTATACGGGTTCACAGGTTGACGGGTTCGTGGCTCAGATTTGGGTTCGTGTGTCCGTGAGTCAGATTCCATAAATAAAATTGATAATTAAACATGAATAAATTCTTGATGCAATCGTCCGATAATGATTCAATTGTTCATGTCGTTGTTCTTGTGAGATATTGAGATTATTTAGGGCAAACGCCAAACGCGTTGCAATGCAAATCGGCATATGATTACCCACGGGTCAAACGATCAAAAGATATTGGGTATCCCATCCTAGTATAAAGTATAAACTGTATAGTGTATAATACTTAATACATTTAAAAAATATATAATTTTTTTATTAAAATTCTAAACGGGTTGGCGGGTCAACCCGTATATTTTTTGAAAAACTCATATATGACATGTTTAATAAACGGGTTGACGGATTGAAAAGCTCAACTCAAACCCGTTTTATTTCGTGTCGTGTCGCTAGTCGTGTCAAGAATTGTCAGGCCTAATATAAACCATATTTTTTTCTTAGTCACGTGATGTGATTTTCACCACAAAAGTATGATGGCATACCTTTTTTCCATGTGATGTCAAAAAACACCCACTAGAAAACACCCCAACCGATTTATTCGCCTCCGGTTGTTGGAAGAAGACATGTTGAAAGTCGTGAAAAAAAATATATTGAAAGATAGAAGAATTGGATTAAGGTGTGGTAAATTAAGGGTTATATGGTTTTGTTTATAAGTAAAATAAATAAATAAATAATTCGAATTTTAAATATTTGACCGTTCAAAGGTTGGGAAGAGGGAAAGTAAGAGGGAGAGTGTGCGGTGGAATACTACCGTATGCGGCAAAACCGCATTGGAAACCACGGTCTGAGGGTGGTGTTCCCTATTGCCATCGTGGCAAACCGCAAAGGAAACCGTACCCACTCCCTTTTGTAAAATCATATCTCTTGTTATAAGATTCTTTAGGTTCCAAATAAAACCCCATTTTATTTACCGTTAGTCGCGATCAATTATAAACTAAGATCTGATATTTAAAGTTTAATTGTAGATCGCTTCTAAGAACCGGTTATAGTCTTTTAACAAAATTTCATTTTATACTTAAGAGTTTCAGTTTTGGATGAGTTTTAAAATCCAATTTTAAATCTCTTTTTAATATTCAAAGTCTAATGATTTTATGAATTTGTAGAATAAAAACTCATTTTATACATCTTATGTTGAAAAGTCATATTTTGATAAACCAAAAGTAAGGTGATAATAATTATGTTTTAAATCTTATTTGACATGCATAAAACATAATGTCCACATGTTGCATCAAGTTTTAAAAAAACTAATATCATATATAAAGTTTCGACGTAAAAAATAATTATTGGTATAATGATTCGACGTTATAACGTTATAAACCGGATTTTAGTATTTTTAATAAAAAATCATTTTTATTATAAAGACATGGAGTTTAGATAAAGTTTAAACACCTTTTAAATCATTTTAAATATTTTAAAGTTAGCTATTTAAAAGTTTTACAATAAAACTATTTTTAACAAAAACTAGATTTTAACCGTTTTATAACGCTTTAATAAATAGTCATTTGTAAACATCTTATGTTATCTTTTAAATATATATTTCTCAAACTTCAAATGATATTATTTTATGATAAAATATCTATCTCTTCTAATAAACAAAAGTTATTATTGTCACATTGCATGTTTCTAAACCATACTTGACACGTGTACGTTTTTTAGACCTCAGGCTTCTGATTTTCGATTTTCCCACCCATTCGCTATCCTTTCAAATTGAAAATTGGTTCTATCAATTAAATTATATTAGGGATGAGCATATAGACCGGGGAACTGGTCGGAACCGGAACCCGATGGAACCGGTCGGTCCGGGACCGGGACGATATTCTTGTGGATTTTTGGAACCGGGAACCGGTAGAACCGGAAAAAACCGGAACCGTATGTTGCTATTTCTCGAGGATCGGTTCCAACATTGAAGACACGGAAAGAACCGGTAGAACCG